AAGAAATTGATGCAACGGTCATTCTCCAGTTCCACAGTAAATTTTAGTCTATCATGAAATGCATTAAATGTAGAAACAATAGAATCAACCATATGTGATGGAGCTGCTAAAAAGATATCATCTACATATCGATAATAAACAGGAATAAATCCTTTGAATTTGTATAAAGCTTTGTTTTCGAGGTCTTGCATAACAATATCTGCTAATAACGGGGATAAAGGTGATCCCATAGGAAGACCAAAAGTTTGTTTGTAAATGACATTATCAAAAGTGAAAAAAGTAGATGATACAATAAAATTAACAGCAATAATAAATTCATCAAATGGAATGCCGGTGTTTTTAGAAATGTAAGACCATCTGGTCTTTAAACCATTAATTGCCAGATCCGTAGGGACATTTGTAAACAATGAAACAACATCCAAAGAAATCAATATCTCATTGTTTAACCGGATTTTAGAGAGATTATCATAAAGCGTGAAACTGTTGTTTATGTTGCTTCTGGCCTTCGGGAGACTGTCGTAAATTAACTTATGTAAAAAAGCAGCCAAAGAATAGAGAGGGCTGTTTTTTGAAGAAACAATCAACCTTAATGGAATTTCTTTTTTGTGAACTTTTGGTAAACCATACGCTTTAGATAACGAACTATCACTTGATCTCAAATAGTTGTAAACATTTTTTTCAATAAACCCTCTGTTTAACCAGCGTTTAAGTAAATCAAGTAGGTTGGATTCTATTTTTCTAATTGGATTTCGTTTAACAATCTCATACGTTGTGTTATCACTTAAAAGGTTTTTCATCTTTGACACATAAAGATCTCTATTCAAAGCCACCGTAATATTGCCCTTATCTGCACGTGTAAATATTATTTCAGGATGTCGCTTCATAAAAGTTACACACGTTCTATACATCTCCGTCATCACAACATCATTGTTCGAAATATTAAACTCTTTGTGAAGAAAATTTTCTTGCTTAGGAATAACAATGTTTCTAATTTTTTACTTTGTTTTTATATCAAAACTTTTTATGTTGGATTCAGTATCCTTAATAAATTCATGGATCAATATGTTCTTTGTTGATCCTATCGGATCGGGAGACAATGATTTGCTCCAAGCTGTAAAAGACGAGAAACTTTCTCCGGAATCATTCTATCGGAAATATTTAGAAACCATTTTTTGTTTGTTTGGACAAAAGGCATCAAAGGTTGTTTGTCCCGAAAGATATCATTAGTGATTGAAACCGAAACTGTCTTTCAGGTAGATTTTTAGAAACAGGATTGTCAAGATAAATTTTATCAATCCTATGTGGGTTCGAGTGATCCATCAAACAATGGTACTTTATAAGTGCAATTTTATCACAAGCTATCAAGTTAGTAGCCTTTTTAAGCCCCAAAACCTTCTTTTGTTTTTTTACAAATAAATTTTGACGATATTTGTTAAATGATATCTAATGGTGATCTAAAAACTGAGAAATTATATAAGGTGGAAGTGAATTCTTTAATAAAGAATTTAGTATAAAGATTCTACGGTTAAAAAAATATATAGATCTGTGTAAATCAAATATTTATATATATTTTTTTAACCGTAGAATCTTTATACTAAATTCTTTATTAAAGAATTCACTTCCACCTTATATAATTTCTCAGTTTTTAGATCACCATTAGATATCATTTAACAAATATCGTCAAAATTTATTTGTAAAAAAACAAAAGAAGGTTTTGGGGCTTAAAAAGGCTACTAACTTGATAGCTTGTGATAAAATTGCACTTATAAAGTACCATTGTTTGATGGATCACTCGAACCCACATAGGATTGATAAAATTTATCTTGACAATCCTGTTTCTAAAAATCTACCTGAAAGACAGTTTCGGTTTCAATCACTAATGATATCTTTCGGGACAAACAACCTTTGATGCCTTTTGTCCAAACAAACAAAAAATGGTTTCTAAATATTTCCGATAGAATGATTCCGGAGAAAGTTTCTCGTCTTTTACAGCTTGGAGCAAATCATTGTCTCCCGATCCGATAGGATCAACAAAGAACATATTGATCCATGAATTTATTAAGGATACTGAATCCAACATAAAAAGTTTTGATATAAAAACAAAGTAAAAAATTAGAAACATTGTTATTCCTAAGCAAGAAAATTTTCTTCACAAAGAGTTTAATATTTCGAACAATGATGTTGTGATGACGGAGATGTATAGAACGTGTGTAACTTTTATGAAGCGACATCCTGAAATAATATTTACACGTGCAGATAAGGGCAATATTACGGTGGCTTTGAATAGAGATCTTTATGTGTCAAAGATGAAAAACCTTTTAAGTGATAACACAACGTATGAGATTGTTAAACGAAATCCAATTAGAAAAATAGAATCCAACCTACTTGATTTACTTAAACGCTGGTTAAACAGAGGGTTTATTGAAAAAAATGTTTACAACTATTTGAGATCAAGTGATAGTTCGTTATCTAAAGCGTATGGTTTACCAAAAGTTCACAAAAAAGAAATTCCATTAAGGTTGATTGTTTCTTCAAAAAACAGCCCTCTCTATTCTTTGGCTGCTTTTTTACATAAGTTAATTTACGACAGTCTCCCGAAGGCCAGAAGCAACATAAACAACAGTTTCACGCTTTATGATAATCTCTCTAAAATCCGGTTAAACAATGAGATATTGATTTCTTTGGATGTTGTTTCATTGTTTACAAATGTCCCTACGGATCTGGCAATTAATGGTTTAAAGACCAGATGGTCTTACATTTCTAAAAACACCGGCATTCCATTTGATGAATTTATTATTGCTGTTAATTTTATTGTATCATCTACTTTTTTCACTTTTGATAATGTCATTTACAAACAAACTTTTGGTCTTCCTATGGGATCACCTTTATCCCCGTTATTAGCAGATATTGTTATGCAAGACCTCGAAAACAAAGCTTTATACAAATTCAAAGGATTTATTCCTGTTTATTATCGATATGTAGATGATATCTTTTTAGCAGCTCCATCACATATGGTTGATTCTATTGTTTCTACATTTAATGCATTTCATGATAGACTAAAATTTACTGTGGAACTGGAGAATGACCGTTGCATCAATTTCTTGGATCTGTCAATTGATGTTGTTGATGGTGAATTAAAAATGGATTGGTTTCACAAAGACACCTTTTCAGGTAGATTTCTTTCGTTTTATTCTCATCATCCTGTTTGCCATAAAAAGGGTTCCATATTCAGCTTAATTGACCGGGCAATTTTATTGTCACATCCCGATTTCCATCATAAGAATATTGTTTTTGTTGTTAACATTTTACTAAGCAACGGTTATCCTCTTGATTTCGTTTTTGACAACATAAATTACAGAATTAAAAACTTTATCTCCAAGAAGATCAATGCCTCGTTTAATTGTAACGCTGTTTCTCAGAACGATAAGAAACTAATTATTTTACCGTATATTAATAAGTTATCTGAGAACATCATACATGCGTTCAAAAAAGCGGATAACATAATAGGCTATAGATGTCTAAACAGACTGAACAAAATAATTAAAGCACATAAGGATAGGACGCCGTATGAATTGAACACAAATGTTATTTATAGAATAAATTGTAAAAACTGTTGTGCATCTTACGTAGGACAGACGAAAAGACAGCTTAAAACCAGAACGAAAGAACATATTAACAATTTTAAAAAAGATACTTCACAGCTTTCTGTTATCTCGAAACATTGCATTGAATTTGAACATTCTTTTGACTGGGATAATATAAAAATTTTAGACTATGAAACTAATTTTTACAAAAGGTTAATTTCTGAAACAATACACATAAAAAAACAATCACATGGTCTTAACTTAATCACTGACACTGATTTACTTGACAAATCCTATTTTAATTTACTAGACAACTTGATGGCATTCTAATTTTACTCTTAACATATTTATTTATTTTCTTGTCTTGACTTTAACTGTAGTGGGGCAATAGATGTTTGTGTATATATATTCGGCTGTCTTTTCGTGTTTCCAGCGTTTGATTTGTGATTTCAATTTGTAAGTATGTTTGCCTCTGTCGTGCGTGGTATTATAAAGTATTATAAAGTGATTACATTTTCGGAATTATTTACAGTTTTTGGCGTTTCACGTGTGAAATATGTCATCAATTAGAACGGTGACAAGAGTGACTCTATGTAAAATAACTGCGCCTTCAATTAGTAACATGTAAGATCGTTTTTTAATGTTTAACACTGAAGAAGACTCAAGTAGAGTCGAAACGTTTATTGTTAATTTTATGTTATGAAAAGATTTTCTGATATTTTGTTATATTGTTAAAGAATATCATCAGATTTTGCTCGTAAATTTGGCCTGTTGTATATTGATTTTAATATTGTGACATATTTCTTTAGTCATTATTAGTTTACATGTATGTAATAAAAATAAATGGGTATGAATTTAAATAACCATGGAAAAAAAACTTACCTCATCAATAGTACGATTTTCTAATTGTTCACTTATCGATAAAAATGAACTTTCAGAATATTCTTTCTTAATACTTTGTAACAATATCATATCCTCTTCACGTGTCCATGGTTTGTTAATTGAATCAGATTTCGTTCTCACATTAGTATCTGTTTTTAAATTTGCTGTTCTTGTATTTACATTACCTAAAATATTTTTTTAAAATAAGATATTTAGATTAACGTAAGATATTTATATTAACACACACAATATTAAATGACGTATATAAAATTCAAAAGATAGTTACTTGATTCACAATCGATGTTATTACTTGAACTTGAAGAAATAACTGGTGTAACTTCAGTATTTAACAGATTATCACGCATTGGTACTTGTGCAATAGAACTAACTTCTGATTTTTTAAGTTCATTTGTTTTCTCGTGCTCTACAACACCAGATTCGTTGACTTCTGCTGACGCATCATGCTCCTCAGTCTTCTTTTCTCGTTTACTCCTGCACTGAGACATACGCATTCTTTTATTAGCGACTGCGTGATCTACAGTGCCTATTCTTTTCAAAACTTTCTTTTGATCCGTTTTGAGGGTGAAATTTACATTCCTTTTAGGCTTTAGTTTTTCACTGTCTTCGTTTTCCTTCAATAACACGTCTTTCGTAGCGCACTGCTTCTGGCAAACATCTTCCTGACTAGGATCAGTCTTCGATGATTTCCGTCGTTTTTTGGGTGAAATTGACGGAATGACTTTGTCAGCAACTTTTAACGATACGCGCGCAATATGATCTAATTTCTCCTGATCCTCTCCAGGAAACGTAATTTTTGCAGGTCGTAGTCCCTCGGGCGTTTGTAGATAAATTCTCCCGTTGAGAAACTGTATATTATGAAACATGTAATATATATGTTACAAGACATTAAACTTTTTTTAAAGTAAATAAACTAGAACAAGTAGAAGAATGAAAAATTTATATATTAAATATCGCAATACGCACTCGTGTGCCGCAAGAAATACAATGTTCAGTATTAGTTTTAAGATTCGGATCGTCCGTATTATGGCAATCACATTTACAATTTTCTCCACCATATGGATCTTCGTGACACGTTTTTGTGGGTAATTCTATATTCTCGTATAATTCTAATGAGTTTTCGGTACAGGTTACATTTTTATCGTAAAGTCCGAATGGACACGTCAAGTTCTCAAATATATGTGGTGCAAGCAAACTAAGAAAAACATGTTTGTTAGCTCACTATTTGAATTTCGTGGTTTATAAATAACAAAAATAATAATAATAATAAAGTATTACCTTTCAGGAGGTTTTGCACTAGGTAGAACTTGTAAGAATAAATCCATAACAAGTGGATGACCCTTAAAAACAGGACTCATAACAGCGTGAACGTTTTCCAAAGTAGTGTGAGGATCAGATGAGAGTTGCGTGATTGCCTGCATCATCTTTGCTATCCGCGATGGTTGTTTAGCGAAATATATTTGTGCGACGCGAACAAAATCATTCATTTTTTGTAACATTATATACTCTACCGATTTGCCAATCATCGCAGCTTGATGCGGCTTTAGAAATAATAAAAAATCTGTACACAGTTCTGGATAATTTTGCAACTTTGTGCAAACATCCTCGTACAATTTGGTTGTTAATATATCTTTTTTTATTGTGTTATCTTCTATTTCTTTATCTGTTGAACTTTTCTCGCGAGAGTCACCGACTGTTTGGTTATTAAGACTTTCCAATTTTTCAGAATAATCTAAATACAATTTTATCACACCTTTAAATGTTTCCGGATTGGTAGATTCTAGCATTAAGTGTAGCTTCTGAAAATACGATGCTGCAAATTCTACAAAAAGAAATATATAGATGATAAATACATGTATGCAGATTGAGTTGAAACTTTTATCACGCGATGTTATGAACTTTTAACTGACTTACTTCTGTCACGTTCCTCTTCTGTTAATGGATTTTCGGCTTTTATTAATCTTTTTATAATTTCTATTTCTCTAGTTTGTTTAGCTTTTTTTCTGTTCACAGGATCTTTGATTATTGTTGTACTAGCTAACATTAATTCCGCTATTTCATCTTCATTATCCTAAAAAAAAAAAAAAATTCATAATTTATAAACAGATATCAATACCCCACTACAGAGTTTCACATAACAAAACTTACAACTTTTGACACAGCGCACTGCTCATCTACGTTCTTATCTGTGTTGTCCTTTTCTTTGGATTTTAGAGCACCACAATTAGACGAAGGTTTCGAACCCAACGCTTGCGCCATCATCTTCATATTTTGAGCACTTCTTGTTTTTGCTAATCTAGGTGTGGTTTTGCGTATCTGTGGTGAATTTTGAGATACTTTTGCGCTTCTGGTTAACATAGTGTTTAATTTAGCGGTACTTTTATCTGTCTGTGTTTCCTTCATGTCTGTAGCATTAGTTTTCGAAGTGCTTTGTACATTCGCGTGTGCTTCATTTGTTTCTGCACACGTTTCAACAGCTTGTACATTATTATCAAGTACTTCTTTGTCTTCGCTAATGTTGAGTTTAGGATTTTTTTTAGCAGAGTTATCAATCTTGTCGGTAGTCGAAAGTTTTGGATTCAAAGTTGCAGGTAATATTTTCGGTAACATATTCACAATCGGATTTCGTAAGGAATGATTATTAGAGACACAGGGATATTTCCCTATTGCACTCATAATAATCCCTTGTTTTGCAAATTTACACAAATCAGTCATGTAATTATTCTTTGCTAAATTGTTGTTATACTCTGTTTGCTGTAACAAAAGTAATAAAAGGAAGAGAGATAACTAATATAGTTATTAGTGATTTGATCTTATTTCAAATGTATATGGATTACATAATTGCTTACTTACATTATTGAGATAAGTTCGCCATCTCAGAGGTAGAAGTTCTATTGGTTGATCTATCGGAGCTTTCAGTTTATTCTCAAGTGTTATGTAATGTATTATTTTAGGAACGCATCCTTTTTCAAAATAATGCTGTAAATAAAGTCTCATTTTAGTTTCGATATAAATATTTAAAAATATTTGGTACATACGTACTGTAAAACGTTCTTCAATTCTTGATTGTACGTACATACCTTAATTGGATTATTATCCTTAGAAGCGCGACGTTTCATGATATGATGTAATAATCCTTGCGCATCTCTGTTTGGCAACAGGTACTGGCTAATAAGTTCAGCAACATCAGCCAATATCTTTTTTTTATCTTTAAACTTTCTTGGTTTTGATTGAACAAACGGTAAGAACTGTTCGATACCCAATGCAATTAAACTGAAAATATTACAATAGAAAAAAATAATAAAAATTATATAATAATAATAATAATATATTAAAAAAAAGAATATATATTATTCAGATAATTAATTTCAAAACTTACGTTTCTTCCGGTCTTAAATATGGAGATTTTACATTTTTATTAAGTCCAGATCTGAAAGGTATTTCTGGTAAAAGTTGTGGATACATAAGAGCTTCACTTCTGATAAGTAATTCTTCTAACTCAGGAAAAAATTCATCAGTACGTTTTCGCTGGTTTGCACGATACAATTTAGATTTAGCAATTTCATTCGTTACATGCTTTTTGAAATCTGCATTAAATTTTGAGTCGGAAAACTTATTTTCCCAAGTTGACACCAATTTTAAAGCTTCTTCCAAGTTTTCTGCATTAAATGCAGAATTTGGCCCATTGCTCAGATATCTAATGTATCAATAATAATTTATATATATATAAATTTAGGAGTGCTCTGTGTCACGTTTCTTACATATTCATCATCTATACCTTAAGCTCTGCAAGTTCTGTTTATATAGTTTCGCCAATGAATGATGTTCTGGATGCATGTGAGTCATAACAAAATGCTGTGCCATTAACTGCACGTGTTGCCGAAGCTGCGTAGCTAACAAGAGACGTTGTTCAAGACTCATGACTTCTGATAATTCAGGTTCAGCAAGTACTGATAATTCTGCCATAGGGCAATTCTAAAAATACAAAGATACAATAAATCGTGAGGAGATACAAATACAAATTTTCTGCCAAACATGACACAAATCTGTCTTTCTTACCATATTGTTATTTTCAATCGGCGGTGTTTCATTGTCTGGAAGTTTCTTTTTTTTGAACACTTCTTGTTCTTCCTCCTGCATTGAGAACATAGGAGTTAATTCGAGCAATTCTGCAATTAAGTCGTATTGTTCCTTGCGAGAAACTTCTACTGCTTTGTCTGTCCTAAGTTCTTCCTTGTCCACTATATTCATTAAGAGTGAAAATATAAATCTCTCTCTCATACAGATATTAAGAAAAAAAATAAAGAAGTGATATAGTAGTAATGTAAAACTATGTACATAAATCAGTTTCATCTTCTAATATGTTATATTCAGGATCAGCTTCTGGATCATCTTCTATAGTTGGATCTTGTGTCAAAGGTTGTGTAAATTCCTTCAAAAAATTATCCCAATCTTCGTCCAGCTCACAATCTAAATCATCAATCATATCAGCAGTTATATCAGGTGGTATAAATGCTTGTTCTATTTCTTGCAAAGAAGTTTCACTCAAAGGTAACTTAGAGCGTGTTCTTTGACTAATGCTTTCTTCTTCTGTTGGACCAAGTGGAACACTTAAAAAATAATATTTGTTAAATATTATTAATGCATTAATGCAATATTTGTTCATTACTGATTTTTGACATTGAAGTCAGTTAGAGAAAAATTGAATAGATGAATTGCATAAGTAAAGAATATCTAAGAAATTCAAATGCATTAATTAAAATGTACAATTAATTTAAATACACAATCAATACTATTAAAGTTTGCTCACATACAGTGGTATTTTAAATATTCCTTCAGGATCGTATTGCACATTTGATGATTGTTGTTCAGAAGAGGCTATAATATTATTATTATTCACTGATATTGATGGTTGTAACTCTTTATCACTATTTGATGTACTTTCCACTTCTCTCTCATCATCACTCTGTGCCTTATCATGTTCAGGATTATATTCTTCATCAGATGAATCTTCTGGTAATTCTTCCTGAATCAAAGCCTGCACTTCTGAAGAAGCTTTTTGTGCTGTAGTAATAGGCCATGGTATATTAACCTTTGCAGCTGCTAATTCTCTATAAATCAAAAGAATAATTTACTATTTTATATGATAAAATATTGAAATAACAAAATATCAAAAATGTATATATGTACATACTTAGCTTTAGCCCTTGTTAGCTTACGACCAAAGTTAACATCATTTTCTGTATCTTGAAGCCATTTTTGTACCATTGTCATTAGATGCTCATAAGGAATTACATGTTTCAATATATTCTTAACATTAGTGGCAGTTAAATTAGTTTTGGCAGCTTTGGCATCAAGTTGCCTCTCAATTTCTTCTTCCATTTCATTGAGTACTGATGCTTCTTCAACAGCTTCTCTTTTATGCTTGCTGGACGGTTCATAATTATCCACTTCAGATATGTCAATTTTTAAATCAGCATTCTCAGAATCAGTAGAATTCTCACTATTAACGTCATTGAAATCAAAGTTGATCGAAAATGATAAGTTGCATTTTTTCAGAGATTCAGTGAGCGAAACTTGGGGGGATGTCATTGAATCCGTCTCATTTTGTACAGGTTTGTTTGTTGATTTGTTGACTGATTGATTTGATTTTTCCATTTTTTTCATAAAAATAATGTTTAAAGTACTCTACACACAAATATATCTATCTTATCCTAATGAAAAATATTGCTTTTTCTCTCTTAGACGTAGAGTGTACCGCGCAAAATATCACATATTTCTGTAATTTCTATCATCTGAATAGTGTTTCTTTCCGGTGTGTACACAGATATAAGGTAAGGTTAGGTTAGGTTAGGTTATAATGAATGTTTTGTAGAAAAGGTTAGAATGATCTAAAGCATGTGTAGTGTGACTCGGATCCTACCTATCATCAACAGTTTTGTTCACAGTATTGAATATAGCGAATATTATCCCGTAGTTTTTGAAATTATTTAAATAGAACTTGCAGAAAGTGTTTAAGACGTTAAAAAGAAAATATTAGAAGATATTGTATGTTACGTACAAAATGGATATACAAGATTACTGTCAAAGATTACCCAAAGTGGTATGTTCTTTATATACAAGACGCTATTGTACACAATATAAGACATTTGTATTTTTTATATTGAATTCTGTTATTTTCTACTTCATAGTGCGTAAAATGTAAAAGTTATATTAATTTACATTACAGGAACTTCATGCCCATTTAAATGGATCATTATCTATGAATACTTTGCAAAAATTATATAAAATGCAACACTCAGATATTACTGAATGCGAGCAAACTTCCATGGATGCTGTTAAATTTTCATCTCTAAGCGAGTATGCAAATATTCTATTTTCTGTTGTGAAATAGTTTTTCTGCAACTTGTAAACACATTATTTAACAAGTGATATATTAGAAATAATATATATGTAACATTTGTCTTTCAGATGTTTTAAAGTGTTTGACATAGCACATGCAGTAACAATCACTCCACAGGCTGTGTTTCTTGCGGCTTGTGATGTGATAAAAGAGTTTCACGATGATAATGTAGTTTACTTAGAACTGAGAAGCACACCTCGAGCTGTGAAGGATTCAATGACAAAATTAGAATATCTTGAGGCCATAATAAGAGCTTTTGAGTAAAGAACTGTTTGATAACAATTAAACTTAAAGAATATTTTTGATGAAGTTTTACATATTTTATGCTTTCCTTGAAGCAAATTGTGAGTTTTATTATATTCACAGAATATCCAAATCTCAATTTCCACGAATTATTGTAAAACTATTGGTGTCAATTAATCGAAAGGAAGGTTATAAATCAGCAAAAGAAAATGTGGATCTTGCGATACAGTTGATGAAACAGTTTCCACAGTATGTTGTCGGTGTTGATCTTAGCGGTGATCCAAAAGTGAAAGAGTCATTTTTACCTTTATTGGAAATAGCTAGGAAGACGGGACTGAAGGTTGCAGCACATTGTGCGGAGGTAATAATAAATTGCTTTTTTTTCATTGTAATGGATAATATAATAGATATAATTGACATGTATACACACACACACACATATATAGATACCAGATGAAATAGACATAGTTGATACGTTGAAATTCAAACCTGACCGATTAGGACATTGCACTTGCATTCATCCTACTTTGCAAGGATCTAAACAACTATTTGACATGTTATTGGATTCCAAAGTTCCTGTTGGTACGAAAAACATTCTAAAAGTTTTTTTTTTATCAAAAACAAATAATTGTATGAGAATGCGAATATTTAATATTGTTGTGACATACAATTTTTTTTATCTAGAGTTGTGTTTAACATCAAATGTTAAATGTAAAACAGTATCCTCTTACGAAACACATCACTTTAAATATTTTTACGAAACTGGACATCCTATAACTATTGGAGTGAGTATAAAATAATCCAAGATGCAATCAATAAAAAAACTGTAAAAGTAAATAGTTTATAAAAACTTGATATTACAAGAAACATTTGTTTTCAGACCGATGATAAAGGTGTATTCAACACATGTTTGTCCAAGGAATTCGAAATATTGAACTCTACTTTTAATATTGGAAAAGAACAGCTCAAAAAATTATCTCTACTGTCTGTGCAGTATAGCTTTGCAGACACAGAAGAAAAGAAACGTTTATCATCAATTATCGAGAAGTTTGAATAATATTTTTTTTTTTTAATTAAATATCTTAAATATATTATGTGAATGCATATGATTTTTATTTTTTATTTTTCTTCGTCTTAAAAGAAAGTCAAAGATAAGTAAAATAATAAAATGCAGTGTGTTCATTCATGTCGTATATTGAAGACTGTTCACATATAAAAGTAACATCAGTTTTATTTAATATTTGTATCTATCGTTTACATACATTTACATGTAATAACTGATTTATTATTTGAGAAGTTTATAATCCTTACACATTGTTTTATATCTTGTTTCTCACGTAAATTCATTCATTCCATTCATCTTATAATTTTTATATATATGTACAATATTTACGGTAGCTATTCGTATGGTATTTCTATAAATTACTATATTCTGTTGTAATGATTTGAAGAATCGATGATGATAATAATATAAGCTATTACATAACGTATGTTCAACGATCTTGATATGGATAATTATATTGACTAAGTATGTTTTGCTACAGCAATAAAGCATTTTAAAAATACGACGTTTATTTTGCGTTATCGTTGGTTTGTTCTTTTTCACTTAACTGCACCAGTTCAGAGTTCATCTTTTTCACTCTAAAGAGAAGAAAAAACACTCTAAACTAGTGTGACCAGTTTAACAAAAAACAAACCAAGTGATAGGCATAAACCCTATCAGGAACATGTCACTTGTCTTCACTTATTATCATATCTTATATCATATAGAAAGAGAGTAAATCTCGTTTTTCGAGTTAGTATGGCTGCTTTCTTTTTAATAAACACAAATCGACAAAGATTAACACACTCGAGCGTAGTTTGACTCTCCTTCCAAAAAAGAGTCAAAGAGTGTAGCGACTGAGGTCGATCACAATTATAAATGAAAAGCGACGTGGACACAAATAGCAATTTGTGTCGGATGTGTCGACTGTGTTTTCTAAAAGGAAAGCAGCGTATATGGAGTCAAAACATGGAGTTTTCTTACCTGATAGAATAATTGAAAACGCATAAGTTTAAATATGCGCTTATTTTTGCGCGCTCTTTATCTCTCTCTCTCTCTTTCTCGCAGTAATGTATGGACTAAATATATTTTAATATTCTTATTACTTTTATCTACAATATCTATCTCAGTCACAGATCTGATGTCGATCTTTTAATAAAATTACGAGATTAAATTTATTTTTGACATTCCGCATCGAAAGACGGAATTTTCTGCTCAACTTAAATTTTTATATTGTTAAAGATTGCACAGTTTTACAATGAAAAACACGTTTGTGTAATTCATTCATATTGAATCAACATTTAGCAAATACGATTGTCTCGTACTAGCTCCTGCGCAATCATGGAAATAATCTATATCGTAGATAATATTTTTTCTGTTTCATACTTTGTGTGCAACGTAGAAAATAAATTATATGAAAAATATGTTGGCCTGTTTTAATGGAAAATTTAATGGAAAAACGTGATGTTTATTTTCTAATCGAAATTTTCGATTAGATTATATAGAATACGTAACGTTAACTTATAGATTTTCAGTACTATAAGTAATAACCAAACAAGGCCTGTATGAGAAATATTCTATCTGCAATAAATATAAATTCAATCTCGGAATTTTGCAAAGAATTATTAATATTTTGATTTTAATTTATATAAATATGATAATTATATTTGATATTATATGCATAATACTAATAACTATTTTAACCTATCTAATTTTTAAGGTAAAAGATGTTAAGTTTTCGTTATATATCGCAGTACAAAAAAAAAAAAAAAAAAAAAAAAAAAAAACTGAAACACGAGGATAATTAACTTAATAATTAAGAGATCGGAAGCAAAAGATTTAAGTTGATTCTCGGTCCGGGGTGTTTAACAATAACATTAAAAAATTCCAAATTGAATTTCAGCTTAGGCTTAGGTTGTCGATATCAACTAGAGATCGTTGTTATAAATATATTCAAGCGCTGCGGTAGCTGAATTGTGTCAGTCTGTAAGAAAGTACGAAAGCAAAAACGATAAAGATTGAGAGCAAACGGCCTTGGAGAACTTCCGATTAAATAAGAATTAAGTTAACGCAATTTCTAGTTACACATCCTCTACAGATTCCCGCTACTTAAAATAATTTACATAACAATTTATTTATGTTCTCAAAAAACATAATTGGAATAGCTTTGTAACATGTATACGCGTACAATTGTAAAATCACATATAATGATATGATATATCGATGAAGTATTATGCTGCTTATAATTTGTTCTTTAGTCTAATTTTTACTGCCAATTTCTTTATACTTCCCGATAGCTATCCTGTAGATAAAAAGATATACTTTATCTTTTAGATAAAGTTATCGAGGACCTATCTAGAAGTGAAAAAATTGGGTGTTGAAATAGTTTACGCGAAACGCAATTTAACAATCCAAGTAATGTAGCTGCTTAATTATGTTCGTTCAGGAATATCTACGTTTACACGTATCGGATAATCTTGGGAAACGCATTATCAGCAGTAAAGCGTTTCTCTCTATCTCTCTTTTGCTTCATTTTATTTTTAACAATCATTGTTTTTATCACTCAATAGACGACGAAGAGGATAGGCTAACGCTTTAGTTCTGATAGTGCGATCTTCGGACGCATCTCACATAAGCGGGAGACACAGCAGTTTTATGCGTTAAATTTACAATACTACAACAAATGCTGTTCAAAGATTGATAAAAAAAAAGTTTAATGATATAATATTAATACTACATAATATTGTATTTAAAGAAAGCAATTATAACATCATGCTATGTATGTATTCGTACATATACAAGAGGCATCAATCAATAGTTGAATGCTGCTAATCTCTCGTTTCTCGTGATGACTCTTCCACTATCGTACAATTATGAGATCACTCATGCGATTACTATTTTGCTTTAGTAAATTCACACATTAACCAAAGAGGATGAAAGAAGCATTGTCATCACAATGCATAACATCTCAATCTTGATTTGTCAAGATTAGAGTGGACGTTTGAATGCAAAAATGCTTATATAAATAATGCATGTACAACAGATTACTATTGCAATGTGCTATTTAGAAAGATTATACAATACTTCTTTTATCCTCTTAGAATTACAATTGTTTACTACACTAATGTTACCAATTCTGTGCAACAAAATTTAATCAATTAACGCTGGCAGTTTATCTCTGCCTGAAATAGTGTCTCGCATGAAATGCATACACAACATAGTGTCATTTTTCAAACTCGGAGCTAAACCGCAAGTATATATGTACTGCGCGTGCATGTCACAACTGTTGTATCGCGCACAATACAAAGCAATTTAAAAAAACAAAAAACGTAAAAAATAAAAGATAAAAAGATAAAATTTTAATATTATTATAACAATTATTAGAATTGCGATTGTGTAACAATTTTAAGTAGCGTTATAGTTCAAAAGGGAAATAAAATTAAAAAAAACGGTTAAAAGTGTAAAAAATTTATTTGCACTCAAAAATAGAAGAAACATTTTAAACAGTGACATATTAAAAGTATCCTAAGTCTCTCTAAAGAGTACAGTAATCATAATATTTTCTTATCTAACTTTTGATATTACTGTCTTTAAAACAGTCTTTTTGTCTACTGATTTTACACTTTCTGTCTTTTTTTTTTTTTTTAATAGAATTACTTTTTCGAAATTTTTATCTTAACTTTCGATACTATAATTTAAAAGTGATTGTAGCCCAACGATATAGCTCAATTCACTTAGAGACTTTATTTCTAAAATAAACAAAAGTGAGCCTCTAATACATGCTTTGCGAGAGATCTTCGCAATTCTTGTAATGTATGCATGATAATTCAATTATTTATTTTTAATATTTTCTAACATCAGTAATTCCCATATCTTAGACCAAGTATAGTATTAAATCTAAATTAAGAATACCTAAAAAAACCAAAAAAACAAAATAAAAAGAACTAGTAATTCTTACCAAACTATCCTTATGAATAACTATTAAACGAAAAATAAGATACCTATAACTAAAAATTGAAAATAGTATCAACATTATTTACATATATATGTAACATTATCCATAATCTCACAAAAAATTATAGTAATGTCAATTATTAATTCATTATTAATTTGTAAAAATATTTTCATAATTCTGCTACTGTTTTATGCTCACGCTTTCTCTCTTTCTCGCTCTCTCTCACTCTCACTCTCTCCCTCTATTTCTCTCATTTTTTTGTTTTTATTTCTCTAATAACTACAAGTTTACAAAATTCAGTCATCAATTCTTAGTATTTACACATACACATCCGATGATAGAAATTTATTATCATAACCATCGTATTTAAAAATCTAAATCGAGTTATATATTTACAAAATATCTGAACACACAATTGTGCTTTTTTTATATTACAAGTATAATTTACATAAACAACACAAATATCTAAAAAATATGATCCACCTGTAATGTGATTGTAATGACAACAAATTTTTATAACTATATCAGCAGTTCTCTCGTCGACCTCTGTTTATTCTAAAACCGCAGTTTATACTTCCGAGCGATAGATAAATAGGAAAGCGATAAGAGATACCTTCTGTAAGTTGTGAAATATAATTTTTAAATAAAATCTTTTAAGTTTTTGTTAAATTTGTCATATTAGTCTTTTTTATTTCTGTTTATAATGTTTCTCATTTTTATTATTTTTTAAAATATATTTTATTATATTCTTTTATCTTCTGTTTTAAATACTAAAGACACATCACTATCGTATAAATTATAATTGCTGTCTCAAGTAAGAAAAACGATAAAAACAAATAACTGATAAGTTCTTTAGCGTCCAATAGTCCAATAATACAAATTAAAAAAGCAAGACAAAACAAATAAAAAACTGCTTAAAAGATAAATAATTAGTTAATTATAATGATAAAGTTTAATGTTTTTGTGCATTTTTTTTAGACACTTGTGTTGTATCACTTGTATGTAATATTATAAAATCTATTATGTGCAAGATGTTTCGTAAATGAGAAAATATATACAAATATAAAATTAATGTAATAAAAAATTATGTTTAAACACAATTGGGGTGATTTTGTATAGTAGATTCAGTTGACATTTATATATCATAATTATGACAACTACGTCAAATTACTTTAAATTCTGTATGTATTGATATACCTGCTATTTTTATATTTTTATAGCTAAGTGACCAAAGAGTTTTGGAATGATGATTTCAAAAATCTTCTTTAGCATCTTATACAGGGTGTCCCAGAATTGCCGTACAATCTCTCGTAGGCAGATAGAAGGAATAAAAACTGAGTCGAAAAGTCCTGAACCATTTTTTTCTATTATTTATAATAAAGGAGTAATTATTGAGTAAATTAGGCCAATCAGCGCCGATCTTTAGCCAGGCGCACGTCAGTGAGCCGTGCGAAGTGCTCACACACACCAGGCGCGCGGGTCACTGAGTGAGCTAAACGTGCTAAAGGTCGGCGCTGATTGGTTTGATTTACTCAATAATTACTCCTTTATTATAAGTAATAGAAAAAAATAGTTCAAGACTTTTCGATTCAGTTTTACTCCTTCTACCTGCCTACGAGAGATTGTACGGCAATTCTGGGACACCCTGTATATGAGATTCACAACTGAAATTATCGACAGCAGCGATGTAAACTAGAAAGCAATAATACCTTTCACGCTTCCTCACGTGAACTGACCGGTTTGAAGAAGTTCTGTGCTTCCTCTTCTTGAAAAGTATTACTACTATCTAGTTATACTACTACTATCTATCTTCTTCAGTGGAAATAAGTTGATCAATTTTTGCCCTCGATGTAAATAGAGATAGGATAGGTTTTTGTCGCATTATTTATATTAAAAGAGAGATCTCCGTACTCCGTACTCTTTCTTATACTTCCACAATATTTATAATATAAACTCTAAACTTTTTCTGTTGTGTAACTCTTGAAATGTGTTTGTATGTTGTGTCAGAACAGAGATCAGGATTCTGAGCTCGTCACGGCTCAGTATTTAGTGACTCGAAACCCTCTCTGTTGTGTATTTGTGTGTGTGTGCGTGCGTGCGTGCGTGTGTGTGTGTGTGTGTGTATATGTATGTGTGTGTGCGCGCGCGCGTCAAACAGAGATCAGGCCCTTTGGCTCGTCGCTGCCAACAGTATTTAATGACTCGAAACCCTCTCTGTTGTGTATTTGTGTGTGTGTGTATGTGTGCGCGCGTGTGTATGTGTATGTGTGCGCGCGCGCGTCAAACAGAGATCAGGCCCTTTGGCTCGTCGCTGCCAACAGTATTTAATGACTCTAAACCCTCTCTGTTTGTGTTTGTGAAATTTGCAGAGCTCATACTCAAGTTATTTTCTCTTTCATTTGTGTTTTTTCAAAATAATAAAAACTTGAATACTAGAAACACGTGAATATAATCATACATATGTCACATAAAATAAAGAGTCTAAACTACTAATAAGAAAATCTGAAAAATAAAACAAAAATTTACAATATAAACACATATCCTAATCTACGTGTATATTTCAAAATAATTTACACTTAAAGTAACTTAACGTTAATGTATCTTATATATATAAAATAATTTTATTACTACATGACGTTTATTACGTTTTTAATATAAAAAGTATACAATCTCCTCAGAAATAATTTTACTACCATATATACAGAAAAGTATTGTATATATATAATATACATTCTCTTCATCAGTTTACTAAAGATAAAAACAAAATCGATGTGATCATTTAATTAAACCAAAAAAAAGATTCTAATAAAAGAGAGTTGTTAATCATCATTTTAAGAGCACATGGGCATTAGCTATAAAAACATTAAACAAAACTTATAGGTTATTATTTAAAAAAATCCAAAGTAATTTGGACACAAAAATATTTATATAAATGTCACTGCTTGAGACATACCACGCAAAAACCACGCAACTTATTTGAAACATAACATGATTTTTTTGTTTTTTTTGAACTGCACTTTTAAATATGTGTTTATATATTTTCTTATGTACAAAACAGTGTACGTATATACGTCCTCGTGTGTATGTATGTGTATGTCTATATGTGAGGACAAAATGTGAATTCATTGAATTCACAGATGAAGCACAAGCGCCAAAAGTACCACATGATACTTACTAATAGAGTGTGGCTCGTACTAGTAGTAACATTCAAGTGATGTTGTTCACTGGGTTGTTACACATCATAAATGTTGAGTGCATAATAATAATAGGCTTTACCCAGTATATTGTTACTTAATACATGTAACATTTATATCTAGTATCACAAAGATATGTACTTAAAATCAATAATTATTATCTATAAACTTTTTGCTTTGGTAAAAAACTGTTATTTTTATACCAATAAAAAATTGAAAGAATTCACGATGATTTATAAATTTCTATCTGCAATAAAATTAGTGTATGTGCAATATAAAGAATTTCTAAAATAAACATTTACAAATTGATAAATGTCAAATATTTTTTGACCTCCGAAAAATATTTTCATTTATCGTCTTCAAAAATTTAGCCGAGGATTTATTATAGAACCATTTAAGCTGCTTATTTTTTGATGTGATTCTATATATATATTTTTCTACCATATCTTATATTATCATAATTTAACTTCAAGTTAAACTTTCTGCTGTGACAGACAGTGTAACACTTTTCTCTTTCTATTGTTACGTTTATTAACAATAATTGTGTTTTTGCGCGTCAACAGCGGCGTTTAGCTCTTCTTGTCACAAGTTAAAAAATGATTAACAATAATTCAGAGATAATTGCAATAAGAGCATTCACGGTTTTTACCTAAGACAAACATAATTCTATAATAATTCCTACGCTAAATGTTCTCTTTCTCGAATACCGTATGTACGAATTGATATCTAAGTATACTTATGAGTCTTCGTTTCATTGCTGTCTCCCACTGGCGTCATCGGCATCACTTTCTATATTTCTCTCATCATGTTTTACTGGTATGGTACCTTGATATACAGTATTATCCAATTTTATTTCGACTACTAATGCATCAGGTCGAAATTCTATAAAAGAGAGAAACATTATAAATGTTTACGAGTTATTAAAAGTTGGCTGTATTATAGTTTTCTTTAATAAAAAGATACAAAAATGTCAGTTACCTTTTATTTCTCTAATAAATAAAAAAATTCATTTTATTGTAGGAATATTTGCATGCAAATTTAACGATACACAACACATGTACATCTATAATAAGTACGTGTGATAAACACCTAAGTTATTCAACTCACCGCAAATAGTGAATGTTTGAGTTCTGATAGCTGTTTGAGGCTTCATAGTTTTGCTCTTTCTGCTGTTCTCCAGCGGTTCTTCATCATCAGAAAATGATTTTCTTTTGCAATTTGATGTCGGCAGATGATCAGTACTTTCACGATTCTCTTTTCTTGACGTGGACGGCTCACCTCGTGGACTCACAGGTCTACTGGAAGAACGATCCGAATCTGATCTATAATCGGCAATTTAAGAAAATGTAATTAAGAAATTGCCTTTTTTGCCGGGAGATCACTTTAAGCGAAAGATTTTTAAACTCACCTTGCCAGATCGAGAGCTTGCGGTTCTGGAGTGGGCGGTTCTGGAGTAGGTGGAGAAGGCTCTGGAGTGGGCGGTCTTCCAGGATACATGTTTTGTTGTTGATACATCCACATCATCCGTGCCAACCCGAGAGATTCTATAGTTTGTGATTGGTTTTCTTGCGGCAAATTTCTTCGTTGTTCGTTGATCATTTTCATCACGTAGTCTGCAAGTATTTCTATATTAGATTATTAAACATGCAGCATACGAAGTGCGTGTTGTTTTATATTAATTGAAAAACAAAAGAAATAGACTAGAGTAAAAATAAATCAAACCCTATGTACAGATAACCCTCGTATATATCGCGGATATTCTGTTTCACAGGAATGCCGCATTATACAATATAAATCGCCGTTATACGAGGCATAAGCGCGCATGTTGAAAAAAACGGAATTAGACTCTATTTTTTACTACAATTTGTAATTGCGTTATATCAGAATCGCGTTGTTCAAAGTACCGCGTTATGCAAGAGTTACCTGTATTATATTATTTGATTTTTAATTTGAAAAAAAAAAAAAACAGGATTTTTTATTTTATTTTATTTTTTTTTGTCAAGAAAGATCTTCGTGTAACTCGTTTATTCAAAGCTTCTTTTATCCAGTCGTGCAAAGTTATGCGAAATCGTTATAAGATTTACAAGATAAAAGAAGTCACTTCAGTGATAACATCTGTCAAGTATCGTCTCTCACACAGTGCGTTCAATGGCTCTTCTAATTTTAAATATGTGACTTTTAAATTTGTGACATTTACACCTTTATTCTAAGAATGTTGTCTTATTATTTCTACTAAAGATTACTAAATAAATAAGGTCAAAATGTTTAAAATACATAAAACTATCTCAACTTAATCTGCATAAGATCCTGCACCTTGGTTCGCGATACAGCCGTTTTATTCAAATCTATCATTAAGATAAAAGAATCTCGATGCGCGCATTATTAATTGAAGATTAATAAGCTTTCGAGTTTGTCTACATACGTATATATTGCAATATACATTTTATTTCTGTAATGTCTGAAAACTAACCAACAATTTCACACTAAGCTATTTACATTAATCTCTTGTAAACGTCAAATATTTCTCGACGTTAACTTTCGTTCATTGAGAGAAATCGTTACTAGACGATTAAACAAGGGTTACGCGCGGGAGTGATCGAAGCGCGACGTTCCCCAGATCGCTCTGTCGAGCGAGTAGCGGCGGCGGGAACGTGGAAAGAGAGAGAGAGAAGAAAAGGGTAGGGAAATAGGAATGCTCGTTAGCGAGAGTCATCCGTTAACGCCTGTCTTCCGGAGGATCGTACAATCAATTACGCCTCCTTCGCTCTCGCATCATCTCCGGGGAGGCCCGAGAGAAGCACTACCTACCGATTTAAAATAAACCTTCGTAAGTTCCTGCCTTCTCCCCCTTGGTTCTATATATTTTCTAATTTTTTTCATTTCCTTCCCCGATATCTTCTCCATCACCGGACGCTAACTTTTTATTCGAGTTTTCTTTTTTTTTTTGTTTGTTTTATAATATTCAATATTTTTGGCGTTACAGAACATCCGGGACACATAAGACCGGGAATGTTTGCAATTAATTTTATTAATTAATATACGAAATATGTTTTCTTTTCGTGTGTGTTATAATAAAATTGAAGAGACAAAACTAGAATATACGAAGCTCTTTCTTGACCATAAACAAGACGCTTACCCCGTTGTAGCATAAAGATCATAATAAGCATACCATTAGGCATTTGTGGCAAATGCTGCGGATGTTGACCGCCGTTAGGCATCAAGATGTGCGGACTACGAGTCTGTTGCGATCCGCTTGGGTTTATCGGTCCCGTTAAGCCAAGCGAGAGTGTATTCATTCCCAACGCAGCCTGGTTGTCTCTACTAGCTGAATAAGCGACCCCCATCATTTGGGGGCTCGGTTTTTGACGACTTTCCCTTTTATTCGTTTCAATTGCTTGCTGAAGCTGACCGCTGGTTGACAGTCTCTCGTGCGTCTGTTCGTACGGATACAAGTATTTCATGTACCTATAGAAATAAAATATCGATTAAGTTTTTTGTGCTTGCAAATGTCATATGTGAGACATAACACGCTGTTGAGTCACACCGCAGTTTTACGAACTTACATCTTTTACCAAACTGTACGCTCAAAAGATTCTTTAGATTAATTAATTGTTAAAATTCTACTTTATCTCATGTGTCCGCTCGGTTGCGTCGAGCGACTTGTACCAGGAGCGACTGTGAGAGAAAAATGCTCGGTTCAACAGAGACAATTCGATTACTGTTCGAGTTAATCGACGTCAGAGAACCTGTCAGACGAATCGCGAGCACATTTTCCTCCTGGACTGTATTTTCGTAGTTTTGCTCCCTATCTCGCGCACATATCGCCGAGGAGAGATAGCCGGTTGCCGGAATGATGGATGTGCCAGCGCGGCGAGGCGACGCGACGCGACGCGACGCGACGTACCGTCGCGCACAAAGCGCGGAGTTATTTTCACGAACATACCCCCCCTTCTTCCTCCTCTGCTAGCATCGCGCCCGTGTAATTCATATTAGACCTCACTACTTATAATGTGTCGGCGAGCGTTCTTCTCCATTCCCTCGCGACGTACATCCTTCCCTCCGTCCGTTCCCTTCGTTCTCGTCGCCGTCTCTCCGAATCCGAGACGAATCTCTATTTAGAGATCGTTCGTCTCCGCACTTCGTGTCCTCCGCCTTCGGGAAGAGAGACAAGACACCGCGAACGGCAGATAAATCTTCGTCGTCGCGCTGGATATGCTCGGTATTACATAAACGAATATATATCGTGCCAAACGGGCTCCAGGTTGTCACAACCTACCCCAGAAGTTGTCCCAACGCGGGATCGCGCGCGGGAGATCGACGGGCGCGGCGCGTCTCTCCGTTTAAGACTGTGCACCTGTACGTTACACGCCCTCCGACTCGTCACCCGCATACTGTTTTTTTTTTTTTTTTTTTCCCATCTGTTTGTCAAGTCAGTGAGTGCGTAACAAGGCGCTCGCGGGCTTACAATCGTATATATATATACGTATATATGTTTTGCTTTCTTTAATTAGAAAATTAACAAAGTTTTATTGCACGAACGAGCGAATAAACGTTAAAAGAGATACGGGAACATGAAAATTATTGATGACACCCATAAAACTGAAGTTACAGAATCGCGCGCCGTCGAGCGCATATTTCACACGTAGGTGAGGATAGTTTTATCGGCACGCCGATCTGCGCGTAAAAGTCACGGCGCGGGAGTCTTAGTCATCGGTGCAGATTTCACGCTCGGATGAATCTTCGCCGTTTGGAACTTATTGTATGCGAATCGCGGACAGCAGGCGGGACCATCGATGGAGTGTCCCGGATGAGAAACTTCACGATCTACTTACTGAGTTCGTAGAGTAAACGCGGCGGATGTGATGCTTGCCGGCAGTCGCAGACCCTTGATGATTTCCTGCCAAAGCTTCTTGTTGATTACCTCGACGAGCCCGCCTCGTTGTATCACCAGTTTGTAAAGTTCAAATAGATCCAGAACAGATTTCGCCATGATTGGTAGTCGGTTGATGGGAGTTCCTGTGTGACGTGAAATAAAAAAGTTATTTAAAATTTCATCTCCTGCGGATAATATAAAAATTTGTCTATTATTAATTAACACAATTAATTAATTTAATTTTGAATTTAAAAACATTTATATTTGAGAGAAAAAAAAGATTCAAGATTATTTAGATAGATTTTAATATTGAAAATAAAGAACCGCTCTCCAAACACACTTCCTTTATAAAATCAATGAACTGCTAAAGTAACTGAGACATTGTCAGGACAGATGACGTAAGAATCTCGCGAGGTGTGTGTATTTACAAGTACACAATCCTTTTCGTTGCGTGATCAGCCGAGACGGATTTCGCGATTGTTCTTAAAGGTACTGCTGGCGGTAGAATTTTACGAGGTTTGTCCAGGGAGATCCAGAGCGTGGGGCGTTAACAAGAGCAATAACGAATTCGTAACGATCACGCGAGTGGCGCGGTCTTTTACGATCTTCTTTAGGATGTACCGGGGATATAACAAATAAATAAAGAGAGAAAGAAAGAGAGATAGTGTATTACTGGATTAAGAACGGAGAGAACGAATGAGCGTGTGGAAAATCCGGCGAGGCATCGTCACGTTATCACGCTTGTATTGCGAATTATCGATCGTGTCGGTTCTCGCCGAGCAACCGTGCTTTTTTTACGAGCTCGCACACAGAGTCGCAAGTTAACGCAACCGTCGTGCAAATAACACCGTCGTATCCGTGGATACCTCCGACCAAATATTGCCAAGCGAATTCCGCTTCCGACGATATATGTATTTTTGTCCGATATTACCGGAATTTGTCGTATACACACGCGCGCGCCGAAAATAATTTAATACCGCGCGCACGCGCGTTAAAAAGAAAGAAGATGCGCACTTATTGCTAGATATGTACGCTCTATATGTGGCACAACGGCTTCTCTCGAGGTGTTTGTTCGTTATTTTATTATGTCGCGCCAGCAGCCGACACGCGAAAGCGACTTAGCGTGTAATACACTCTCTGAGAATAATACTCCTTTCGTCGGGCAACATTCAGACAGATACGAAGAAATTCCTCGGTTAATTCGCGCGCGTATTATATACCCGCGCGGCCCGCCTACTGTGGTAGCCGCTGAGCCATCGAATTTTACGAGGTTGCCCGAGCTACGAGTTAACGGGGTGTTAACAAGAGCAGCAATACTAGCACGACGACTATCATGCGCTTAAACCACGTAAACGGACCTTTACGAGCTTTCGAGTTGGCGTAATCTGAGGTTTAAAATCGCGCATAAATACGCGGGACCCGACGTGTCCGTGGAATGAGCGGACGATTGAAAATTTTATACGGGAGATATATATATATGTATAGAGAAAGAGAGAGAGAGAGAGAGAGAGAGAAACTCACGTAACATCTTCCCCCCAAAAAATACTGTTTTCTTATATAAAACAGTGAAGAAGAAAAAAGAGAGGAAAACAAAATAAATACGTCCGCAATTCGATTGTTACATTTCTTACACTTTTATACTTTGTTTGATGTTTTAGATTTTATCGCACATACGACTCTTGGCTCGGAAGAGATCGTTCGATGACTCCTCCGTCGTCGCGCTGTGGCCGTTGCTTTCCGCAGAGCCAGTGAATTTTACGAGTTTGTCCAGAGGTTCGAGTTAACGGGGCGTTAACAAGGGCAATACTTGGGCGACTATCGCGCGTGCGGAGCCCGCTTTGCGGCTCTTTACGAGCTCGCGAACGATTTCGTGCAAGAGACGCGCGTCTTGGTAACGTGGGGCGAAGCCAGCACAGTGCACGTTGTGCCGCGCGCGTTGGAGCACACACGTCGGATGAACGCGCGCACAACGGACACAGAGAGAGATACGGACAATGAGGAGGAGAAGAACGCGGCGGCGGTGGCGGCGGCGGCGGCGGCAGCGGCGCCGTATCGCAGGATCGTTTATCCGCCATCGAGGACGATGAAGGGGGCTGCCGCCATTCCTGGCCGACGAAGAGGAGGTAATAAAACCGCGCGGCACCGAGTAGGGGAACCAGCAATTTCGGGCTATCGAGCGTGCTCCCTTCGGCTTTATTATTGGCCCTGCAATTATTGTTGATATACGCGCAACCCGGCAACCCGCGCCTTAATGCTTCTATGTAGGGCGCGGCGATAAAAGCTGCACAAAATGGCGTCCGATCGCCGGCTTCCCTCTCATCCCTTACGATGAGAGAGAGAGAGACTCCACCTCGTCGTCGCGTCTTGACGCGCAATCGATGGGAACCGCGCGCGATGCGTCGCATTTCCAATATATTCCTCCTCCTCCTCCTCCTCCTCCTCCTCTCTTTCCCTTCCTTCGGGCTACACAAGTATACTCGTTCACATTTTTACTTTCGCACAACCGTGCAATTTTCAAAGATGTATGTGGCATCTTCATTTAAAACTAAAACTTCCGATTTAGAATTAAAATACACGTTTCTGTACACGTACTTTCGAGCAAATAAAGATAAAAAATTTATATGTGACTATATTAAAACTAACATGTCCACTTAGTTAATTGCTAGACGTAGCAATGTCGAATCTATACAAAAAATGAAGAATTTACGACTCTCTCTCTCTCTCTCTCTCTCTCTCTCTCTCTCTCTCTCTCTCTCTCTCTCTCTCTATAAAGTGTGTATCTCGAGTTTACACTTCTTGCACGGGGCTCTTCGGCGCGAGATTGACGAGAAAAGAAATGACGGAGGTAGAAGAGCGGGAGTGTTGAGAAAGAGATAAAGAGGTTAGGGAGAGGAGAGGAGAAAGAGCAAAAGGGAAATAAGAGAAAGGAAGAGACGGACAAAGAGAAAAGAGAGAGAGAGAGAGAGAGAAAGAGAGAGAGAGAGAGAGAGAGACAGAGAAGGGAGGGAACGTTTCAGGATGTGATTACGACTTTTCTTGGTAGGGCGTCCAATCAGCAGTTATTTTTATAACGGCCGCCGTCGCGCCATGCCGCGGCTCGTCCGCGTAGTGGTGGCGAGGAGTTACCGCGACGAGCAACAGTGGCCATCGCATGCTGCCTTCAACGAGGCAAAGTAGCCATTCGCCTGGCGTACGGGCGTTATGTACTATCGCCGCATGTAATTCCGCGCCGTAAGTCCGTGGCAGAGTCCGTGCGAAACTTGTCGATAAAAAAAAAAAAAAAAAAAAAAAAAAGTTTCTTTCTCCGCACATCGAAGCGAAATCAAACGTGGAGAGGCGCGCTGAAACGAACGGTTCATTTACTCGGCCCGCTCGACGGTCATGTCCGTTGCGAAAGAGAGACAAAAGGATAAAGAATTAACACACACACACACACACACACACAGATCTTCTTATAGGAAATAATTCTCACGCGCTATTATATGTCCTCGTGTGTTCCGAACGTTTTCCTGCGAGAGAAGATCGATTCCCCGACCGGACCGGACCAAGCGAGCGAGCGAGCGAGCTTGTCTTGGTGCCACATTGGTCGAACGTATATCCTCGCATAGATGGAGGGGGTAATTGGCATACGAAACAAAATGTTACATTTTATGGGTTATTGCGAGGGGCGCGAGATGGGTTGTAGGCGCGGCGGGGCTGAGGGAGCGGCCCGATCTAATAACGATCGGTTACGTCGGGGGCCTTTATTAACACACGCACACGCATACGCGCGAGCGAGCGCGCGTTCTACAAGACCGGCCCCGCGTTTTAAAGGGGTTTCAGACGCGCGAAACGGCTTTTCCCAGAATCTCGCGTGACGGCTCCGGAATCTCTATCGAATGTGCGCGCCGCTGGAATATACCCCGTTCTGGATCCGCATCTCTCTCTCTCTCTCTCTTCTTTCCTTCCTGCTTCTCTTCGCTCAACACCGCCTCAGGGACTCCCTTATTTCCCCGTCAAAATAAAGGGAAGTGTTCCCGCACTTTTTCCTTCCTCCCACATGTGTACGTTCCCTTCGTTTTTGTTATATATAAATAAAAACTGAGGATGCCAAGAAAAAAGTGCGAAACGTCAAGAAAATTTCGAATAAGTTTTAAAAAGTTTTTTTTTCTTTTTTCTTTTTTTTTTTTTTTTTGAAAGTGGAGACGCGCTACTTTTCGTCACGTGCTTTACGAGCTAATTTGCGGCTTTGCGGTTCTACGCTGACGCGTGGGACTGCAACGCCGCGTCGTGTTTTCCTCGTCCATGGTTTTGACGCCTTGATTACAACGCGTTGTGATTAAGCAATAATTCATTATTGCAAACTCGCCGCGCGGCCAAGATCAAGATTTTAAACGATCTTGTCGCGCGCAGGTTTATTTCCGAGAGAAAGGACAAGAGAGCGCAGAAAGATCGAGAAACGAAGAGAAGAACGGAGAGGAGGAGAGGAGCGAGGAAGAAGACGAAACGGTTTCTATACAGGCGAGAGTCTCGCGCGGGTTAACTTTGTTAGCGCTTGGCATTATCAGACCGGCAAAAGAGATTGGCATTGCGAGGAATAGCCGGGAGGGGGTGGAGTTTCATATGAAATACACGTGACATTTACTGCCTTCACCGGCTGGGCCCCTGCAAAGACGCAAACGCATTATAAATAGATCTCCTCCCTGTTTACCCCTTTCCCCCGCCCTCTCTCTCTCTCTCTCTCTCTATCTTTCTCTCGCTCGCTCGCTCGCTCTCGCCACCCTTCTTTTTTCTCCGCATCACTCGACTTCTCACTCCGGCACTCCGCTTGAAGAGACTTCGAAGATTAAGAATAAAGGTCCCGGGAGAGGAAAAGAGGGAGCACGCGCGGCACAGCCGCAGCCCCGCCGTGGCATAGACCGTGCCACAATCTGGTTTATAATCTTGTTAGGATTTCGCGGAAATATTGGCGTAATTTACGATCCGTCTTAGCCGAGTTAACTGTCGGAGTAAGGTGCCGCAGTGGTACACGAACGAAACGCACGAAGGGTTGCGCCTAACAGCCGCGCTTTTGTGGCAATGCTTATGAGGTTCCTCTCCGTTGCATTCTGTCCACTTTCTCTCTCTCTCTCTCACTTTCTTTTTCCTCTTTCCTTTTCTCCCC